CCTCTACATGCTTCGAGTAACACTCCGCTAACTTAACGCCAATTTATGAAATATTCATTCACATTTTCGAATCTTTTAACTATGAGACATGTTAATATAATATCACAGATAACAATCCCAAAAGAATCTAACAACTTTGCAATCACTTTTCACAACTTTGTAAACAGTTTGTCGTCAATTGTTTGGTTTGCTGCTGCGATAATTTGCTAAAATATGAGGCATTTTCAAGACGTTTACTTAATGTTTTCCACATTTAACTGCGGGGTTGTCATGACAATCACTTAGGTTAAATATATAAGCAACTCCGCAAACATTTCAATCGTTTTTTCCAACTTTGCACGCAGCTTTCTAACATTTTACGGTCAGCTCATTTGAACATCTACTAATATAGACTGCTTTTAGTTTACTTTTATTAAATTTATCGGCTTTTAAACTGCGTCGTTCTATATGCCAACAACTTACTTTATATATACAAATACATCTATCAACCCTGCAATCACTTTGCACAACTTTGCAATCACTTTGCACAACTTTGAACGATGTGTTAACAGCTTAAATCTCAGTACGTGACGACGGCATCAACAATTTGTTCTTGAAAATTATTAGGAATTCGAAAACATTCCATTAATTTTAAAAATTACAAAGTTTCTACGATTCTCTTCGATAAATGATTGACATCACAGTAAAAGCGAAAGCAGGAACGTTGCCTTATATCTTTTCCATGTGTGTGATGAAACAAAAAAATTCAACACATTGTTTACTCAGGGAGTCTCTCATGCAAGTACTAACCACGCCCGATTGTGTTTTACTTTATACATTGATCGACCACCTAACCACACAGCTACATGTGATTTTATGAATTTGATCCTAATTGGCGTCTATTTCATGTTTTGGAACGTTTTAACGTTTGTATCGCTTGCAAAAGTACCTTCAAGAATTGACCTATGACATCTACATGCTTCGAGTAACACTACGCTAACTTAACGCCAATTTACGAAATATTTATTCACATTTTCATTTCCGCGAGGTACAGAGAAAGTGTGTTATTCCCATTCATGACAAGAGTACAACTCTAGACTTAGAATATACAGAAGATAATCAATTCAGTATCATCCGCATACAATGAGCGTTATCAAGTGTCAGTGAGAAAATAGCCGCGATACCCATACCCGTTCCAAAAAAATCACTTGTCGATCATTCTCTAAATATGACGTATTTCACTTTTTAACAGTTATATAAATTATATGTTCTGGTATAAATTTTGCGAACGGGTCAAGGATATTGTAATTACAGATTGGTATATAGACGTTTGTTCTGGACAAATAACGCAGTGTTATCGGCAATACAAAACCAAATTTGGGATTGAAAACTATGTGTCATTGCCACAATTAAAATTGCGCAAAGTAATAGTAAGATTAAGATGTACATGCCATCCCTTAGAAATAGAAAGAGGCAGACATAATAATATCCCTAGTAAGGGCCGTATTTGTCATTTGTGCCTGCAAGAAATTGATGATGAATATCATTTTTTATTAAAATGCACTGCATGGGACATAATCAGGAAAAATATCTCTCAAATGAGACACAACCCCCGAATTTGAATACTCTAGTACAATTATTAAGCTCCTCTAATAGCCAAAACATTAACTCGTTAGCTCTATTCATTTATAAGTGTTTTTTTAACCAAAGATCAAATAACCTAATAAGTTTGTATGCGTATAAATATTAATTTCCCAATCACATTATTATATAGTGCTTATATTATCTATTGACACCCTCTTCATCTATATTTTCATACATATTTTGTAATATAAATTTATTTCTTGTCAATGATTAATTTGTATGGTTGTAAAGGGCCAGAGGCCATTATACAATTAATAAAATTAGTATTATTAGTATAAATTATAAATTTGTTTACTCTATCCACATTATAGTAATATCTCACGAAAACAGGTGTGTAACCGAATAATTCGCACGTAGCTGGGAGTTATTGGGTCATGTTGCAATATAAATGCTGTTATCATAACAAACATAATAATGCTAGAACAAAAATAATTGGATAATTTAAAATGACACAATAAGGGAGAATGGTGAAATCGTAACTAAATTGCTGAATAATGACATAGACATGTGGAACGAATATAACATGTTCACATAATAACGTAAAACTCGATAAATAAAGTGAATTTGACACAATAATGACCCAATGTTAGAATGTAGTTGAAACCATCTAAAAAGACCAAAAATAATATAATAACGTTCAAATAATGGAATAATATATACAAAAATATACAAATATATAAATATACAAAAATGCGAAATAATTACGTAATAAGGATAGCACATTTTAGACGTGTCGTAATAATGCTTAGACACACGCAATAAAGTTCATATAATAAAAACAATGTGAACGTGGTCAAATAATAACCGTATAACGATGAAAGGATATAATAATTATTATCTGTCACTGTAACACCATAAGTTACAGCGTGCCGTAATTTTGCGGTATTTTACGGGGTATTTTCATCCTACCATATAGGGAAATGCGAATTCCAAATATGGAATAATTACGCGCTTAAGCGTTCTCTAGTAATAAAAACAAACGTGGCTGCCACCAAGGTATGACCGGACTCCACATAAAGGAGTTCGCTGATTCTTTTCTAAACTTTTCAGATTTCGGCATTCCCATGATGTATCCACACTTGGACCCGACAAAGCTTTAATGTATTTTTGAATAGGGGTGCTTGGTTTATATGTTCTCCTCCTCTGTGTTCAATGGGTACTCTGACTACCAAATTCTTGGAATATAATACTATTTTAAAATTTACTAAGATGCTGCGATTCTTACTATCAGAAATATATTTTACAACCCGGTTCAAGTATTTTATATCAATTGCTTTATTCTACTGACAGTTTTACATATTAAACATATATTTTCCATGGTTACTACCGTTTATGTCTCCTTCCTCAACACCAAGCCACAATCCATCTTGTCCCTTAAAACCAATCTTCAACAAGTATTAAACAATCCATGTCTACTTCAGTGAAGTTTTTTCAACAATTTCTACTTCTTGTCTCCATATTCGTTCTAATAATCAGTAAATACGAGTTTGGAGGGAATAATGCATTTCTTAGTAAGTTCGTTGACCTTGCCTCGTTGAAATTCCACTTATTGACCTTTGACAGTACGCCCATACAACTGGTCAGTCTTTGTGAAACTCGCTCGCCATGATAGACACATCGGCAAAATATCGCGTGGAATTCGAAAGGGATATAGCTATACTGTATATGAATGATGGTGAAAATAGGTACAACTTAGACAGTCTTGCAAGTCTTCATAGTGCACTTGATCAGGTGGAAGGGTATGTAATTTGTCTTTGATTCATTTAAGTCATTGAACGGTTACCACCTAACCCAAAGTTATGGTAGCTGGGTCTGGTTATTGTCTGTATGCTCCCGGTGAGTTGGCACACAATCCTGGGGACGAATAAATGTTTTTGTCATTCAAAGGAAGGTGGTCTCGCACTTAAGATACCTTGTTTGTTTACACGGACTCGCCTGCCCTTTGACATTGAGATTGAAATCGACGCTACCGGGGTTATAAGAGGTTGCATTAGATCTTGCGTTAGTTTTAAAACCACTATGTGGACATATGATAAATTCGTGACTAGGCTATACTTAGTTATACTGGGCTATATCCGAAATAAGTAAAGGCTATGCAAATAAATCAATCACTGTGAAACCCGTAGAATAGTTTATTACATCAATACAGTATATCCACT